ATAGTTAGAAGCCATGAAAAATATTAAGCATTAAATATGAGTTTAGTTGAACTGAAGTATTTTTCAAATATCATAGTAGTAGTGTTGTGTATTTAGAGCGCATACATACTTATTAGAATTCTGCAGAGATATTTACGACTAGGGGTGATAAGTTATTGTTATTCGGTTGTTATTAATAACAATAACAATAACTATTTTTGTTATTTGTTATTAACAACAAAAAAATAACAAATAACTTTTTTTTTTGAAAAATTTTCAACTCGAATTGTTGCCTATTTCAACTATACTAACTCTGTTGGTCTATGTTTAACGAATGAATTTGCTACGACTATGACATTAACCGATCTCAAAATTTCAAAATTCGCATAGATCACATACACGGTGGAACAAAAGCGACAAGAAAAATGTTTTTCTGATTTTTTTCTTTAAATACCAGCAGTTACATCTCATATTTATACTGCATATGCTAGAGGATACTAGCCAGAGCAGAGTTGTAACCGGTCCGGTCGGACCGAACAGATTGAAGCGGTTGGATGTACAGATTTTTCAGATCATTTTCTTCTCTTCATCAATGTATTTCATTTCTTTAATCCAAATGCGCTTTATTTTTAAAACGTGCATTCGAAACTATATTAGTTCAGTTAAACTTATTTCATAGATTTTTGTGAAGATAAAATTTAGGTTCGAGCCATCTTTGAGAGAGAAGCGTTACGTTATTTGTAAAGGTTGAGGGAATAAAATTCAAAATCTGGAATGTAGCAATCAGTTGATCTGTAAATGATACTTTTTTCGAGCTATATATAAATTTCTCAGGTATTTATCTTTCAGAAACCAAACAGATATGAAGAACTAGAGCATCATATTCGTTCATGATGATCTGTAAAAATCGGAACAAAAAAGGTAAATGACTGTTATTGAAATCATCCCTATTAGCGAATTAATAATGACGCAACAAGCGGACCATATTCTGCTAGTTTCTATCGGCCTAGTAGATGTTTTGAACCAGCTGATCACTAGCCAAACTGGATCAGTCCAAAACTTCTCCCGATGAACTGAATCAGGTCAACGATCTCCATTGGTCACAAACCTAGTTTGTCTCCTAGTCTTCTGATTGGAAATCTTATAAACGAATTGAGAACAAAGCTCACTGCAATATACGTGTTACGGAAAAGATAACAATGATAAATAAAAAAAAAGAACTACAGTCAGGTTTGTTTTCGAGGAAATTGGTTAAACTTATTAATCGGATGTTTCCATTAAAAAACTAAGAGCAAATTGCTGTTTTATATTTTCTATCAATTTTCAAGCAAAAAAGATCAATTTAATCAAAAAATTTAGGAAAATAAAAAACTTGCGTAATTAACATTACCGGGAAAATGGAAAACATCATCGTTTTGTAGTTATCATGATAAAACTTTATCCTCTAAACGTGTGAAACGTGCTTTTTTTAAATGAACTTCTACTTATACATTTAAATTATAAGAAAATACTTAAAAGAAAGGCACAGAACGTTCAAGACTAGACTTTTTCGAATGACTGATATTTTGATTTTTTTTATTACATTGATTATTATCCTTTAAAATTGATAAAAATGTTTTAAAAAATCACTTGTTTTCTTCTAGGTATAAATCTATAAGCATTTAGAGTGAAAGTTCGCCCCCTAATATCAGTTTTATCATATGAACAAACTTCATAAACTCGCCGATTTTTACCGGTCTGGAATTATTTTTTAGACCCGCCGATCACCGGTCGGACTGGACCGGTCTTAAATTTCTAAACCGGTTACAACTCTGAGTCAGAGATGTGTCATATGATCAACCTCTAAGAATAGCAACTGGTTTCAGATACATACATGTATAAATTGCTCGTATGTGACTGCATGAAAAATTTCATGTTTGTTGTGTTACATACGATTTTCATATTCCTGCCTTTTTATCCCATTCTGAAATACAAATTCGACCCAATTGAATTTCGTATTCTTTTGGTCTAAAGAAGTTCAAAATGTGATCAAATCGAATTTGTATGTCAGATTGGGATAAACAAGCAAGAATATGAAAATCGTCTGTAACACAAAAAAAATAAAATTTTTCATGTAGTCACACACGAGCAATTTATACATGTATGTATCTGGAACCAGTTGCTATGCTTAGAGGCTGATCACATGACACATCTCTGACTAGTATCCTGTAGTATATGTAATATAAATATAAGATGTAACTGTCGATATACAAAGAAAAAAAACCGAAAAAAGTTTTTATCCTGTTACTTTTGGCCTACCGTGTATATGATCTATGAGAATTCTGAAATTTTGAGATCGGTTATTGTCATAACCGTAGCAAATTCATTCCTTAAACATAGACCAATAAAATTAGTATAGTTAAGATAGGCAGCAATTCGAGTTGAAAGTTTTTAAAAAAAAAGTTATTTGTTATTTTTTTGTTATTAATAACAATAACAAAAAAAAAGTTATTGTTATTAATAACAAATACAAAAATAGTTATTGCTATTAATAACAATAACAATAAATTCACACCCCTCTTTACGACTCTGTTATTTATTGCGGTATGATAGAATTAGCATCCGTGAAACTCTGTGGTGAGTAGTGTTTTCCCACTTGTTGGCTATTATCCGTAAAAGATTGTGATGCTTTTAATTCAGTTTTTTGTCTCACTTGTGAAAAACGTTTGTTTTAGATAAAATTTGTTTAAATAAAAAGTGTTAATAAGAGTATATCAGGCAGAGATGAAATATACGTCAACTTTACGTACTATGCTTCAAGTTCATAAAGCACATGAAGTGATATTTCATGCTTGAATACTTGAAATAGACATACTTCTCAATAGCCTGAATATTTTATACCCATGTGATAAATAAGTATTGAATTTTCAATAAAAAGTGCCATTCTCAGGATCAAAATAGAAAATAGTTGACTTTTTTCACTTATTTTCATTAAGTGTACTTCTCTTTTCTGATCATTTCTGTTTCTCAAAAGGGTACAGCCAATCGTTATGAAATTTTTAGCACAGATAGAGCATCTAGAATAAAGAAATACCTAACAAATCTTAAAGAAAGTTTTCTCGATTTTTTTTCGGGGAATGTATGAATTTCTAGGAAAATCAAAAAGAACACAGTCGATTTTACCTATAGAGAATACTTTCAAGTTTCTGTGCTAAATATAACAATCGAATCGAATACAATTAGGAATGAGCTTATACTGTAGCAAGGTGCGGTCGTATAGAAAAAAAGAGTATACCTGAAAAAAAATGCGAAAAGATTCTTTAAAACTTTCTTCTTAAATACGACTCTTCATTTTCTTGACGGTATAAATCTTTAGTAAAAGCTTCAAACTGATTGATAATATCTTCCTCAAAAATCGAAAATGTTCAAAAGCAAGGAAACATCCTCCAAAAAATTCTTTCTGTAAGTGACGGACATTTGAATCTTAATATATATGTATATTTAAAAATAAAAAGTACAACTCTAGAGTAAGTTTTTGTTTGTTCTTCATTCGATTTGTGGAGAACGATGTAAATTATTTATTATTTTCTACACTCAAATTATTTTGTACATAACGACATTCTGCACAAAAAGTGTTACTATTTGTGTTCTTGAAATAAAAAAAGTGAACGAGTGTTTTAATCTTTGCCTCTTCTTTTTAAAAATGAGAATATTAGAATATTTGTCAATACTTAAATCATGTTTAAAATAATCAAAGTTTTCCTATGTGAAAATATTTCCACTAGAGAATATTCTATTAAAAGATGCTAACACTATGTAGATGTATAAGTCTGAAATACAATTAGTAAAATGTACGAACGATATAATGAAATTTCATTGTACTAATTTGTCTTCACGAGAAACTGCACTCGAAAGACAGTTCTTCATATTGTCTTTCTATGAATCTTCAGTTGAAAAATGCCTTGCACTTAATGAATATGTCTTAGAATCCATCAAAATAGCACAACAAAAACAACATATAGATTGACATCAATGCTTGAGTTATATTTTGTGGTTAAATCGTAGACATTGATAGTACTGTTGTGAGATTTAACTGTTATTTGACAAAATAAAAGAAGAACATGTGGATTATAACAGTCACAATTTTAAAGTTCCGCTTGTTCTGTCGTTGATTGTATGCGATGTGAGAAAAAAAACCATCAGCCCTATGCTTAGCTTTAGACAGTGTCGATTCACGAAAACAACGGGACTTTAACATTGAATAATTATCTTTCGTTCGTGTAATTCTTTTTTTTTCTTTTTATAATATTGAACAAGTCGTTATATCAGACTAGTAATACTCTAGAATTATGACTGATATCACTCTGTGATAACATATAATGTTACTTGCTTCCAGTTGAAAGCGCAAGAAACTAATTTCAAAACTATATCGGAAACATTTTGCTGCGCAATGATTTTGAAAATGACTAATCCGAAGCTTGACAATGGCCAATTGTCAAAGCTCTGTAAAATGTTATATTCTCACCCAAACATGGTTTCATTTTCTTTAGTATTCAACAAAATAAGCGTATCAAACACCAATAATACTTACGATTTATTTTCGTTTGATATTTAATCAATAGATTATTCTACAGAAAACTAATTAACTGTTTATATACTTTTATATATAAACGAATGTTATAATTACGTTACAAGGAAATCCATGTATTTTTATTTTCATGAGATGTCATCTTTCAAAAAACTATATTATTATATTTAAATTTTTATTACATTCACGACCTAGATAGAAATTTACCAATTTATTTTATATTCTATAGCGTGACAATGTCTAATTCATACTATATATATATATCTTCTTTTTTTTTTATAAAAAAATAGAATAGATGTGTGTTCAACCGAAGAAAAAACATCGGAAATAAAAACAAAGACTACAATGATACGGATTCATATGCTGTATAAGACAAACCAAGAGCACATACAGCACCGCAATATTTTGAATATAATCTATTCGGAGATATACATTAATTAATTTTTTTGTTGCTTTAAGTCGACATTTGAAATTGATTAGCCCACCATGATTCAACATCTTTTCGTCCATGATTAAAATTACTTGTTTGCCATGAACGCCATGGATAAGATTCATCACTACTTAAAGTTAAACTAATATTTTGCTGTAATTGTTGTGGCATTGGTCGTCGTACTCCTTTATATTCAATAGATGTATCACGTATACCTGCTTGTGTTCGATAGTTTGAATTCTATTAAAAAAAACGAAATTGAATAAAAAGGAAATCAATAGATATCCTACATTGAAATCATTTGAAGGTGTCGGTAATGTAGTTGTTCTATCGAGTTTTTTTTTGACAACATCTTTTTGTATTTGTTGTTGTCGATCATCAAAAATTTTTATTCGTCGTTCTTCTTCACTACCCATATTATCAGTTGTTCGTTTTAATGATTCATTTGTTGTTATTGCTTGTGCTTCACGAAAAAATGCTAATTCATTACTACGTTGTAAATTTTTAATAACATTTGTTTGATCTTTTGCTTTAATACGTTTTAAACATTTATTAAGCCAATTACGTATGGTTAATTTTGCTACTTCTTCTTCAATTAAATATTCAAGTTCTTCACGAGCAAGTAATTCTTCGAATTGTAATGATTTACGAATATCAACTGAACGATAAGCTAACATACTATTGAAACAAAAACAAACGATTGTTAGTGAAATTCCGATGAGATTAAAATGTGAAACAGGGTGTAGCTGCTGTTGCTAATCTTTGGGTAATTGTTTTATTCTATCTGTTATAGGATACATTTCTTTATTATCCTTTTACGTAATCTTCCAGAAATGCAATAAGGAAATTCAGAGTATTCCAAAACAATGATGTAAAAAATCTAAGTCAGATTAAGTAGAATCTGCACAAGTTGTCCTTGTCTTCAGCAACTACGAGTACATGCCTATTAAACATTTTCAACAGTAAAGAAGATCCTCGAAAACTTGTATTCTGCTATTTTTCACTTCCAGATGAGAATCTTATTTAAAAAAAATGTTAAGTCTATCCTAGAATCAAAATACTCTGCTGTATATATACTGAACTGAAACACATTTTTACTGCTGTCAAATATTTAAAAAATGATATTACATATAATTTTCTATGAAATCGTTTTGTTTTCGTTATTGATTTTTCTTATTATTTTAACATCATCTTTGGTATATATCGTCTTGTATTTGTCCCATAGAAAAAAATTTGAATGGCACTAAGTGACATGAACATAGAGCTCATCGAATAGAACCTTCTCTTTGAATTTACCATGAAAGAAAAAATTTAATTCTAACATTGATGTACTTTATCGTCGAAATTGAAAGAAGTCTGACTTCATTCAATTATGTACTCAGCTTCGTTAAAATTCAATCTGCTACTAAACAAATCTTGCAATCAAGTACAACATTTGATGTTGATACATTTTTACTGTCAACATGAACTTCAGCGTCGCTTTCTTGTGTCGTTATTGTAAGATGTCACTGAGAAAATTCTTTAATACCATATTTATTTCACATTTCTTTGTCCAATTTTAAAAGCAATTTTTGTTTCACAATCTTCAACGACTCAAATTTATTCACTAATAAGACGATTTCTATTCTTATATTTATAGGTACAGTCGTTTTATATGAAATATACTGAATAAAATATAAACGAAATATGTAGCTTGTTTCAACTGAAGAAGAGTTATGTAAATTTTATTTTGTGGCGAACTTTTAGAATATTCTATGGTTCATCTACTGTGTTTGACAAAAATCGATGAAATAGAAAAATTAAAACTAATTTTACACTTACTTAAGTACATCATGAAATGTTACATCATTACCATTATTCAATTTTTCAATTTCATAACACATATGTTTATAGAGTTTTTCTGCATCCACTTCCAATCTTCCCTATGAAAAAATACATCGTATTTAATAATTTATTTTCTTAAATTAAATATTTAATTTATATTTACTCGAAGTAATCTTAATAAAAATTTTACGCGTCGAGCTGGTATAATACCTTTACGTCCTGTATCAATCATATTCCAAACCGTTTGAAAATGACGAATATCTGTATAACTAAGTAATGCATCTTCTTCATTAGAATAGAATAATGAAAAATTTTCCATAATAATAGCTACAAGAAGATTTAATACGATATAAGTAATTATAATATAAAACGAACAAAAATAAAGTATAGATGCTGTTGAATTTCCACAATCACTTTCCCAATAGGAACCACCACGTGTACATCGTGGTGGTACAACCATACAATCATGCATTATTTTATTCCAATCTTCACCAGTGACAATTCTCATCAATAGAACAATTGCATTAGGTACTGTTTTAAAATTAGCATGTCGTCCAAGTTCAGGACCAAATTTAACACAACCAAAGAGTATAACACCAGCAAAAGCATATACTAACATAAGTAAAAACATACCAAGAATAATAAAAAATGATTTAAAGAATGATACAATAATAGTTAACATCAGCATTTTAAGTGTTGCCTGACAAAAGAAAAGAAAAAAGAATTATAATAAAAAAAAAAAGCCTTACGTATTTTTTTTTTCGGGAACAAAATATTCGGTTAATAAACTAGAAGAAATGATCGACTAGTGATAAATTAGCCCTGCCAATAAATTTAAAGATCAGTGCGTAAATTTACTCTACAGCTAATCAAATCAAAGAGTAAGTATAGATATTGAAATACATTATAGTGTGATTCACCTTTCTTTGTTTCTTTGTACCATTTATTTACTACAGATGGCATATACGACAGATTTGTAACTACCCTCTGCTTCTGTGCTTTTCTCCTACTCTAGCTTACAGTCGACGAATAAAAAAGATGAACTTGATGATTATGCTAGCAAATTATGATATAAATAGAAATAAAAGACTTTGCCAAAAACAAAAATCACAACATTTAGTTGATGAAACTACATCAGAAGTGACAAATCCAAACATGATGGAGGGTGGATGTGAATGAAATGAAAACTTATTCGAATTCACACCCATATCCTATTTCATATGGATAAAAACATTTTAATGATAAAACCTATACCTTTCACTAATCGAATTTGAATTTCATTATATATAATAAACTGACTATGTTGGAATTAAATCAAGGAAGAAAGAGCGGGTCGTATAGAATCTATAGTCTCGAAGTCATTAGATATACTATTTAAAGTTTCTTGTTATTCTTAATAATATCATTAAATACTTATACAAATAGACAGCATTGTGACTGTTGACTGAAAAAAGTGATCGTCTATCAACTGATAGATTATTACGAGTTATAAAAGTAAGTAAAATTGAATAAAAATCGATTTGAACATTTCAAGTGTATTATAATACTAATTAGAAAATCATTAACATTAAAGAATATCAAAATTCAGTCTTTAATAAATGAACCTCAGTGATGAAATTATGCATATTGAGTTCTAATAGAATAAATCAATCTGGACTCATTGATGGATACTCAATTACAAGGCTTGCAGGAGAAATAATACGATTCAACACAACTAAGTAGCAATCAATATATAAATATTTCAATGATCATAAACAAATCGAATAAAGGAAGAAGACATATCAGTAGAGAGCACTTTTGTAACGCACATAGCATCTTTTGGTAGACTCATGAAAGTTTACTAAGACTTTGTAGGAATTCAGGATTACGCTCTTTCCTTCCTTCATTAAAAACTAATAATTTACATACTGATCATTTCATCTATTTTTCAGTGATCACTTAAATCAGACCATTTTTTTTACTTACATGTTTTCCAGCAATAGTGAAAAACCGAAGTATAATGACAGTAAATCCAAATGTATTACTAAATTCTTGCTAAAATAACGTAAAAAAATATTTCATTTTATTTTTACGAAAATAAAAAAATTTCGTTTTTCTTTTTCTTACAAGTTCAACTTTGCTAATAGAAATAAAATTTAATACAATCCAACCAATACCAAGTATAGTAACTAATAAATCAAAACGATTACGACGTGATTGCCAATAACCAACAAAACCAAGTGCAATACATTTCATAGCAGCTTCGACAAGAAATAAAAATGTAAATAAAGATGATATTAATGCTGATATTTGTGTTATTTTTTCATTAGCTTTCCATGGTTTATAGAGTAGTGCACAATTTAGTAGAACAAGTACAGCAGAAGATTTTTTAAATAATCGATTTTGTGTTATATCAAATACATATGAACGAAATTTGCTATTTTCTGGTCGTGGCGGTGTACGTAACGGTTGAGCAAGTTTTATACGTCCTTTTAAATCCATCCAACGACGTTGATCAACTGTTAATAAAGCCGTTCCCTTGAAATATATAATGCAAAAACAAAATTTATTAATTATTCAAAACAAAAAAAAGTACCTTATTTTCTGAATAATTTGCAATAACCACACCAACAAATAGAGTTAAACCAATTAATGTACCAATAAATACAAATATATGAACAAATATAGCATGTTCCTAAGAAATTTTTTTCTATGAAATAAATAACAAAAAAAAAAATAATGATTCTTACTGGACCCATACGATCCATAATAATATCACGAATTTCAAGCCATCCTTCAAGTGATAGAACTTCAAAAAGAGCTAACATAGCACTACCAATATAATCAAAATTAAAGTTATGTGGATTAGCCCTATAAAATAATTTATTTTCAAAAGAAATAAAAATAAAATTTAATAACGTACCACACACGTGGTACTAACATAACTGGATCAGCTCCACTAACATTCATTTTTGATACATAAAGTTCTCTCCAAAATGTTCCATGACATAATTTCTAGAAATTATTATTATTATTTTGATTCAATGATGAAAACATTAGTTTGCTTTAACATACTTGATCGTTATAAAAATTTCGATCATTACAACGAGCTAATTGTCCGCCGATGATTTGAACACCATAAATAGCAAATATAAACATTAATACAACCAGTAAAATTGATACCTAGAAATAACAAAGTTTACAGTTTGAAATAGAAATTCTAATATTATAAGTTGCTTTTTTTTTGTTTCTATTTTATACTCCAAAGTGATTCGGTCTGATAAATTTTGTTGAAAAAGTTTGAAAATAGATTCACCGAATAGAAAAATTTCAAAGAAGTATTTCCCGATAGCTACTCAATTCTCTTTTTATTTCACCGAAGGCTAATTGAGTTATTGAATACAATAAATCGATCGTTATTTCATTTCTATTGTAATAGGTCTACTCAATTATTCGATGAAAGCATCCAGTATCATGTGTAGTCGAGCTACGAGTAGTGCTCATTGCTTGGAATTTATCCGATTCGGACCCAATAGACTTTAGCTACGCGGCTTAGATAGGCTGAAACATTTGTTTCTCGTTTCATCAGATTGATAAATTTATGCAGTGCATCGAAATTTTTATACAAACGTCAACATTTTTCATTGAATTCGGCGACAAATAGGAGCATTGTCGTACTGAACTAGACTTAGAAAATGTAAAACTACACCGGAAACTCGAGTTCAATGAAATAAAAACTGCCGAAAGTTTTTTTCGCCTCCAATAGCTAAGTACACTTCTTTAAGAAACATTTTCAATAAAGTGATCAAACACACAATGCAAAAATTCTGTTTTTTTTTCATTTAAGTCGATTGAAGACTTTTCTTTTAATAGTCGAAATTAAATGAAAACAAATATTAGAGTTTAGTTGAAAATAAAAATTACTAACTATATATTTTATCTGAATAGCATAAAAAGATTTTTCATTTTCTTCCTTCCTATTCTTAATATTTCAGTGTGAATTTTATAAAGATTGTTAAGTCTATCCTACATTCAAAACATTCCACTACCTATGTTCGGTAATCCTTTTTCACTAATGTTATAAAATATTTTGACTACATATTTAACAATCTCAGAAAATCAAACTTTAACAAAAAAAAACGAAAGAGTTATTAGCACAATCCCTGTATAATTAAAATGTAAAACCCAATTGATCTGCATATATCGTAGTTCAATAAGTTTCAGTTTGGAAACTTCAGCATACAGATATGTCTGTGACGAAAGATGTTTTTTGGTTTTCTCCGGTTAAGCCTATTGCAAACGTAATTCTTTAATTCTTACCAATAGAATTTCTTTAAATCCTCGACAAACTTCATAAACAACTTTTCTCATATCGGGTACCAAAATAAAAATTCGTAAAGGTCGTGTCGATCGAAGAAGCATAAGAAATTGAGCAACACTATTCGCTGGAACATTTCGTGGTAACCAACAAAGAAAAATAAGACCAACAAAAAAGACTGCTACATCAACAGCTCCACCAATATCTCGAATTAATGCTTTTGGTGTAAAAAATAAACCATGTGCAAAAATTTTTAATGTTAATTCAACACTCATAAAAATAACAAATACATATTCAGCAATCTAGAAAAAAGATAATGAAAAATGAAATATAAGAAAAATAAAAATTATAATCAGTTCAATACTTGTAATAAAGGTTGATCAACAACTCGATTATCAGGTGTTTCAAATGACATACTAACTGCTGATAATATTGTTACAAGTATCATAATCCAATCAAGATATGTAACCAAACCAAGAAATTTACTAGAATAAAATGATCGATAGATTTTGAAAAAAAGAAAAGAAAACTTACTGTCCTTGTTTATATCGACTAATTTTTGATTCTTGTCCAAGACGATCTTTTGTATTAACATTATAACGAGCTTCGACAAGAAGTTGACAAAATTTTCGAAAATTACTTTGACGTGCAATTGTAAA